CCCTCCTTGGCCGCTGGGTGCAGGGGAGATATGCACCCCCCCCAAAAAAAAAATGTCCCACTCAGGGGATGGACGGACACTCACCACCAAATCCCAGCTGGCCGGCGACCCCACCTGAAAGCAGAGCAAAGCCCTCAGCACCCACCGGGCACCCACATTGGTCTGCCCCACACCCCCATCTGAGTACCCTCCCACTCAGCTCAGTCCCCTGGGTCCCTCCCCAGGCCGTAACCATGTCCCTGTGCTCCGTGGGCTCTGTGTGTCCCAACGAGCCAGCCGGGCACTGAGATGTGCCCGGGGTGCATGCCAAGGTGCCGAGCTGGGGATGGTACCTGGAAATATCGGTGACACGCCAAAGCCAGGAACTCCAACCCCTGGGGAAAAAGCAACAGCTGGTGACAGCCTGTGACAGCAGTGCCACCCCAACCCTGCCTAGCTGGGGACATCCTGGCTGGGGACACCCTGGCTCACTGCAGGGACAGGGGCACCCGTCTGGCTTCAGGGTGATCTTCCAGGCAGTGGTGGGGGACAGCAGCAGGGTGGGGACAGCAAGCGGGGATGAGCGTGGTGCAGTAGGGGACACGCTCCCATCCCAGCTCCAAACCATGGCACTCACCTGGCTGCAGCCCCCCAACACCAAAACCTGCGGGACGGGAGAGCCCTGGTGAGGGGAAGGAGCATGGGAACAGGCACAGGCACAGGGATGGGGACAGGGATAGGGGTCACCCCTCCAGCCCCCCCAGGCCAGAGCAGCCCCTGTTCCTCACCTGGCTTGGGAGGTTTCCCAACAGCTCCTGGATACAAGATCCCTGCATCGGAGAGGGGCATCAGTGAAGCCCGCAGTGGGGCTCGCTGCCCCTGGGGCTGCAGCCAGACCCTGCTATGACCCTAAAAGGTCCCCAGGCAGGGACCTGCATCTCCATATGTTGGGGAAATGGTACAGTACTGTCTCCTGTCCCCATGGAATGGGCAATGCTGGTGCTATGGCCAAGGTACCTGCTTGGCGATGGCATTCCTTTCCAATCACACCCCAGGAGCAGGGCAGGTGGCAGACACAAGATGGGGCACAGGGCACAGTGACAGTGTGGGGTGGGACCATGCAGTGGGACCAGGAGGGGACAAAAGCGACCCTGCATCCCATACATCCCCTTTTTGACACTCTGAAAACATGCTGCTGCCGCTCCACTCCCTGCACCCCAGCCCTGGGGAGCCCCGATGCCAGGGGGCCACATCACTCACCAGCACCAAGCCCACCAACTCCAAGGCCACCGACTCCAAGGCCACCAACTCCAAGGCCACCTATGACAGGGACCCCAGGTGAGCGCCACTGGGGATGGTCAGCAGGGCAGCACCTGATCCACTCCTCGCCCAGCCCCATGTGTGCCCGTCCTTCCTTGGGCAGCCCCACTCCCTGCATTGCCCTGCAGGAACATCCTTCTGCCCACATCCCTCTGGGGGAGTATCCCTCTGCCTGCACATCCCTGCTGCCTGGGCTCAGTTCCTGCCAGAACCTACCTGGGATGCCGCCAATCCCTGGGACTCCAGCCCCGGGAACACCTGCCAGAGAGAGACCATTAACCCCTGTCTCCCCACAGCCCGGCACCCCTAGCCAACACTTGGCCTGTTGGGGTGGTCCTGACACCCATCCTGGGTGTCCCCAGCACCCATCTTACAGCACCCAGAGCAAGAAGACCCAGAGGGGGCTCACCGCCCTGCATGATGCATTGCTGCAGGCAATGCAGAGCAAGACAAAAATATCCCCGAGCCCAGGGGAGGGGGCACAGGTGGCACATTGCCCCCACAGGTTACAGCATGCCACCTCCCACACCTGGGCCACCCTCCGTTGGGGCACTAGGGAGCATGCAGGGGACACGAAGCAAGGCCAGCACCCCAATGGTCACACAAGGAGAGTGCCCCGTGACAGTCCGAGGTGGACCTGGGGCAGGGTGGCAGAGATACGTACCGAATTTGGGAGGTTTAGCACCAGGCTGCACCCCTACTTGGGGGATGCCTGAAAAGCAAATGAGTACACCATGGTTAGGATGGTCACCCCTGCACCCCTCCCACATGCCACAATCTCCCATCCTGCCTGCATCCCCCCCCATCACCCCTCCACATGACTCAGTGGCTTTTAGCATCCCTAACCACCACTGTCTCCAAGCGTGTCCCTGACCAGAGTGTGACAAAGCACATACCTGCCCCGGGGAGGATACCAGTACCAGGTACCCCCACGCCTGGCACTAACCCAGGCACAACTCCAACGCCGGGCGTCACTCCTGGCACTCCAGCGACACCAGGCACCCCGCCTGGCACCCCTCCGATGCCTGCACCTGCAGAGAGAGGGGGTGAGGCAGCGTAAGGGTGATCCCTCTACGATCCCCATACTCCTGTGGGATGATGTGCATGGCATGGGGTGCGCACCACTGAAGCCTCCCAGCTTCCCCTGGACCAGTCTGTGCCATGCCGGGCTCATGGGGAGACCGCAGATGCCCACTGGGCAGGTAGGGCTGCCTGCTGTGGGCTGAGCCATGAGCGATGGGCTTCTCCAGTTGACTCACCAAATTTGGCTGCCTTCGCTGCTGCTTTTGCTGCTGCAGCCGGACCTCCGACCCCTGAGTGGAGACAGCAAGAGGGGGGTCAGTGTCCCCAGTCTCTCCGGCAATGCTGGGCAGAACCCATCCCTCCTGCCTTGTCTGCATCCCCCAAGGGATGGCCGTGACTTGATGGAGACCACTGAGGTCCTCCTCATGCCTGTCCTGCCCCAGACCTGCCCCCCACACCACCCAGGCTGCCACCACCACCTGCATTCTCCTCACCTGGGACACCTCCAATGCCGGGGGCCAGGCCACCCACTCCAGGAGCCAGGCCACCTATGCCAGGAGCAAGACCACCTACACCAGGAGCCAGGCCACCCACGCCAGGAGCCAGGCCACCTGCTCCTGCAAGGAGAGAGGGAAGGACTGGGGCTTCAGCTCAGGAAGAGAAGTGGTGGAAGGAGCTGGCTGAAAAGGCATGGCAGGCTGGGGTGGGTGCATGGATGGTAGGATGGATGGATGTGGAGTGGATAGATGGATGGTGGGTGGATGGATGGATGGTGGGAAGGATAGATGAATGGATGTGAAGTGGATGGATGGTGAGATGGATGAATGGATGGAGGTGTGGATGGATGGACAGATGGGTACTGAGGGGGCTGGCCGATGGTGTGGATGGGTGGGTAGAAAGGAAGGTGGATGGACTAATGTATGAGAAGGTGTATGGATGGTGAACCTAGGACCCTCCATGCAGGCCATCTCTCTGCAAGGCACCCCCTGACACAGCCAGGACCTTATCCCACATACAGCCCTGCGGAGACCTCATCCCCCCAGCCCACAGGGACCCTGTGCAGTGCCGGGCCTCAGACCCAACCAGGGGAGCAGCCTGGGGTGGGGAAGCAGCAGGAGACAGGACATATGGGATAACCCCGGAGAGATCCTGGCTTACCAAACTTGGCTGCTTTGGCAGCTGCTTTGGCAGCAGCGGCGGCCGCTGGAACTCCAACTCCTGCAGGAGAGGGGAAGCATGAGGGGCATCAATGGGCTGTGGTGGTCACACTGGCACCCCTCAGCTGGCACCGCTGGGGACAGTCCCAAGCAAAACCCTTAGACACCATCTCACCTGGTATGCCTGCGACTCCACCGGGCACCAGACCGGGCACGCCAACACCAGGCACGCCAACTCCAGGCACACCAACTCCAGGCACCCCAACTCCGGGCACCCCAACTCCAGGCACCCCAACTCCGGGCACCCCAACTCCGGGCACGCCGACACCAGGCACGCCGACACCGGGCACACGCCCTGCTCCTGCAGAGAGGTTCAAGGATGTGGCCAAGGAGGCAGGTTCCATAGGCGGGGGGCCCGGCGGGACAC